TTCTGAGAGATTAAACCAGACTTCATGGGACAGGATGCACCAGACTAGACCTCCTCCCAGGAGAAGAGGTATCCAAAGATCGTATTAGCAAATGACCCTTGGCAGTGTGCGGTGGCTCAAGCCTGTAGTCCCAGCACTTTGGGAGGCTGAGGCAGGCAGATCACCTGGGGTCAGGAGTTCGAGACTAGCCTGACCAACAGGGTGAAATCCTGTCTCTACTAAAAACACAAAATTTAGCCAGGCGTGGTGGTGCACACCCATAGTCCCAGCTACTCAGCTACTCAAGAGGCTGAGGCCAGAGAATCGCTTGAACCCAAAATGTGGAGGTTGCAGTGAGCCGAGATCGTGCCACTGCACTCCAGCCTGGGTGACAGAGGGAGACTCCGTCTCAAAAAAAGAAAAAAACGAAAAGAAAAAAGAAAAATAAAATGACCCAGCCAGCCTGGTGCTTCACACCTGAATCCCAGCGACCGTGGTGGACTCCTGTAGTCCCAGATACTTGGGAGGCTGAGGTGGGAGGATCAATTGACTCCAAGAGGTCAAGGATGCAGTGAGCAAGGATCTGACTTCTGCATTCCAGCCTGAGGGACAGAGCAAGCCTGAGGGTGAACTGAAAGGGGTGGAGTGATTTACATCTTTTTTTTTTTTTTTCTGAGCCACTGCGCTGGCCTTTTTTATTTTTTTTAGAGACAAGGTCTCACTATGTTGCCCAGGCTGGTCTCAAACTCCTGGCCCCAAGTGATCCTCCCATCTCAGCCTCCCAAAATGCTGGTATTACAGGCATGAGCCACTGTAGTTGGCTCAAAGCAGATTTTCAATGTAGATGAAAAAGCCTTCTATTAGAAGGAGATTCCATCTAGGATTTTTATAGGTAGAGAGAAGTCAATGCCTGGCCTCAAAGCTTCCAAGGACAGGATGATTCTTTTACATGAAATTAATGCAGCTGGTGACTGAGTTTAACCCAATGCTCACTTACCATTTAAAAGATTTTAAAGCCTCTAAGAATTGCGCTGGCCAAGTGTGGTGGCTCACGCCTCTAATCCCAGCAATTTGGGAGGCCAAGGCTGGCAGATCACTTGAGGTCAGGAGTTCCAGGTCAGCCTGGCCAACATGGTGAAACCCCATCTCTACTAAAAATACCAAAAAAATTAGCTGAGCATGGTGGCCCATGCCTGTAGGCCCAGATACTCAGGAGACTGAGGCAAGAGAATCACTTGACCCTGGGAGGTGGAGGCTGCAGTGAGCCAAGATCAAGATCACACCACTGCATTCCAGCCCGGGTGACAGAGTGAGACTGTCTCAAAAAAACAAACAAAGAAAAGAATTATGTTAAATCTACTCTATCTGTGCTCTGTAAATGGAACAACAAAGCCTGGGTGATAGCACATTTGTTTACAGTATGATTTTGAATATTTTAAGTCCACTGTTGAGAACTACTTCTCAGACCAAAAAAAAAAAAAAAAAAAAAAGATTCCCTTCAAAGCATTACTGCTCTTCAGATCCCAGATGTTCAGCCTGCAAACACAATAAGTAAGTAAATAAATAAATAAATAATAAAAATATGTTACTGCTCATCAAACCTAAACACAACAATAGAAAAATAAGAAAAAAGCGAAAGACCACACAAACACAAAATATCATTGCTCTTTGAAAATGTATCGGCCAGGTAATCCCAGCACTTTGGGAGGTCAAGGGAGGAGAATCACGAGGTCAGTCTTTTTTAAATTAAAGACCTCGTTGAGGCAGGCGGATCACGAGGTCAGGAGATGGAGACCATCCTGCCTAACATGGTGAAAACCCCTCTCTACTAAAAATATAAAAATTAGCCAGGCGAGGTGGCAGGTGCCTGTAGTCCTAGCTACCCGGGAGGCTGAGGCAGGAGAATGGTGTGAACCCGGGAGGTGGAGCTTGCAGTGAGCCGAGATCGTGCCACTGCGCTCCAGCCTGGGCAACAGTGCGAGACTCTGTCTCAAAAACAAAAAAAAGAAAAAGAAAGACCAGCTTCTGTGAAAATATTAAAATTTAAAAAAAAAAACAAAAACACTTGAACAGATGAGGAATTGCTTCTATGGATAAGCAAATAAAGTGTTTTTTTAACGGTACTCAAATGTGTCAATTTTATTTTTTCTCTATGTGCATATTTGCTACTGAAAATTGCAAAAGCAGTACAACAGAGCTTCTTCATTGCAATTCAAACTTTTAAAAATAAGAAAATCTATTATGCTCTAGCCAAACTACCCACATTTTTTTCTTTTTTTTTCTTTTTTCTTTTTTTTTTTGACAGAATCTCGCTCTGTCACCCAGGCTGGAGTGCAATGGCGTGATCTTGGCTCACTGCAAGCTCTGTCTCCCAGAGAATTCAAGCGATTCTCCTGCCTCAGCCTCCCAAGTAGCTGGGATTAATGACATGCGCCAACACGCCCGGCTAATCTTTTGTATTTTTAGTAGAGACGGGGTTTCACCATGTTGGCCAGGCTGGTCTCAAACTCCTGACCTCAGATGATCCAAGCGCCTCGGCCTCCCAAAGTGCTGGGATTACAGGTGTGAACCACAGCATTGGCCGCCAATGTTTTCTTCACATTTTTTCCCCGTAAGTCACTTTCCTTCAAAGTCTTTTTTTTTTTTTTTTTTTGAGCAAGGTTTCTCTTTGTCACCCAGGCTGGAGTGCAGTGGTGCAATCACGGCTCACTGCAGCCTCGACCTCCTGGATTCAAGCAATCCTCCCACCTTAGCTCCCAAGTAGCTGGGACCACAGGCATGTGCCACTTCACCTGGCAAATTTTTTTGAAAACTTTGTTTGTCGAGATGGAGTCTGGCCATGTTGCCCAGGCTGGTCTTGAACTCTTAGCCTCAAGCAATACTCCTGCCAGGGCCTCCCCAAACTCTGGGATTACATGCCTGAGTCACCATGCCTGGCCTACTTCAAATTCAAAAGTTTAACCCAACCTTCATCCCAGTGTCTTCACAAATGCTTAGCAAAGAAAATTCCTAAGACAATTCAGGGGCCTGAATTGTCCGAAGACAATATTGATGCACGAAGTTAAAAAAGCAGTGGCAGAGTTTGAGAGGATTGGCTCCACTTTTGAAAGAAGTTCTACTGTGGGTAAAATGCTATCAAACAACATCGCATGCTACAGAGAAATCTTTCGTGGAAGGAAGGGTCAGTTACTGTGGCAAATTTCGTTGTTGTTTTAAGAAATGGTTACAACCACTTCAATATTTAGCAGCCACCACCCTTATCAGCCAGCAGCCAACCACATCGAGGCAACTCTTCACCAGCAAAAGGATTATGACTCCCTGAAAGCTAAGATAATTAGTATTTTTAGCAATAAAGTATTTTTATATATTTTGTTTTTAAAAAATAATTGAGCTACAAATAAGGGCATCAAGCTTTTTTGTTTTTGTTTTATTTTAGAGACGGGGTTTCGCCATGTTGTCCAGGTTGAGCTCAAGCAATCCACCTGCCTCAGCCTCCCAAAGTGCTGGGAGTACAGGCATGAGCCACGGCAGCCAGCTGGCATGAGGTATTTTAAAATTAAGGTATGTACCTTGTTTCCTAGACATAAGCCATTTCACACTTTATTAGACTACAGTGTAGTGTAAATGTAGCTTAGTTTTTTAAGTAGAGACAGGATCTCCCTATATTGCCCAGGTTGACCTCACAACTCCTAGGCTCAAGTGATCCTCCCCCTTCTATGTCCTAAAGTACTGGGATTATAGGCATGAGCCACCACACCCAGCCAATGTAACTTTATATTCATAAGGAAACAAAACAATTTGTGTGACTCGCTTTATAGCAATATTTGCTTTATTGTGGTGGTCTGGAACCCAATCCACAATGTCTTTGAGGTATGGCTGTACTTTTTTTTTTTTTTTTTTGAGACGGAGTCTCACTCTGTGGCCCAGGCTGGAGTGCAGTGGCGCGATCTCAGCTCACTGCAACCTCCGCCTCCCGGGTTCCCGCCGTTCTCCTGCCTCAGCCTCCCGAGTAGCTGGGACTACAGGCACCCACCACCACACCCGGCTAATTTTTAAAATATTGTTAGTAGAGACGGGGTTTCACCATGTTAGCCAGGATGGTCTCAATCTCCTAACCTCATGATCCACCTGCCTCCCAAAGTACTGGGATTACAGGCGTGAGCCTCCGTGCCCGGCAAAGTATGACTGTACTTTCTAAGTATTTCCTGAGTCAGCCTACTTTTTCTCCATGTTTATTGTCATTATTCTATCCATTTGTTGTTTGTTTTTTGTTTTGCTGTTGTCGTTGTCATTGTTTGGAAACAGGAACTTGCTGTGTCACCCAGGCCAGAGTGCAGTAGCACGATCATAGCTCACTGCAGCCTCAATCTCCTGTGTTCAAACCATTCTCCTGCCTCAGGCTCCTGAGTAGCTGAGACTACAGACGCACACTACCACATCTGGCTCATTTTTTAAAAACTTGTTTGTAGAGATAGGGTCTCATCATGTTGCCCGGGCTGATCTGGAACTCCTGGCCTCAAGCAATCCTCCCGCCTCAGCCTCCGGAGTAGCCCTGATCAATCCGTTGTTGAAGAGTACATGGGTGTTACTTTGCAGTCTGTCATCCCGAGTTTGTGTTTGCTTGACTTTGCCTAATTATGAGTTTCAGCTCACCCACTGTTTGTCAGTAACATGCAGAAGAGACTGTGGCCTTCTTCCTGTATCATATCAGGAAGCCGCTCACGTTGGTTTGTGCCATTACTGTGACTTTCAGCCACGCGGTTAAGGTGGAGTTGGCCATATTTCTCCACTGCCATATTACTGATTTTCCTTTTGCAATGAATAAGTGTGTGTGAGTAGATTCTTTGAGATGAGGTATATATCTCATTCTTCCTCGAACTTTAAGATTTTTTTTTTCAAGTGAAAGTAAATTTGTTAGAAAATAAAGGAATAAAAGAATGACTACTCCACAGACAGAGCAGTGTCACTTTAAGGTTCCAACGTCAAGTGATTTTTGTCCAAATCAATAATTACTGTGATGATTGAAAAAAGATGATTACCAAGTTTATTTTCATTGTCTCAAGGTCTGCTAAACTCTGGATCTAGGCTGTGTCGACAGGGTAGTGTGGTACCTCCTGTACCTGTCTCTGCCTCCTACAGTCCTTTTCATTTATTTTGTTTCTTTTTTAATAATAGAGACAGAGTCTTCCTATACGCTGTCCAGGCCGGTTTCAAACTCCTGGGCTCAAGCAATCTTCCTGCCTTGGCCTCCCAAAGTACTGGGATTCCAAGTGTGAGCCACCACATCGGGCCAAGTCCTTCACCATCTTCAGAAGGCTTAGGTCGCAGTTTCAACAGAAGGACAGACTCCCAGAAAGAGTGTGAGAGAGATTTGGGGCCCAATGGATAATATCGAGTACACTGAACTTGACTATGTTCACCACGTTCTGGCTCCAGAGAAACGAGAGTCATTACTGAAGTTGGTGCCATTTTGTGTATCTTCTGTACCTAAGGCGGAAAAAAGATAGGGGAAAGAATATAAGAGGTCAGCTTATATTCACAAACATGGAAGTCAACCTTTTCCCACCTTTTCTTTTTTCTTTTTCTTTTTTTTTTTTTTTTTTGAGACGGAGTCTTGCTGTGTCGCCCAGGCTAGAGTGCAGTGGTGCGATCTCGGCTCACTGCAAACTCCACTTCCCGGGTTCACGCCATTCTCCTGCCTCAGCCTCCCGAGTAGCTGGGACTACAGGTGCCCGCCACCTCACCCAGCTAGTTTTTTGTATTTTGTATTTTTAGTAGAGATGGGGTTTCACCGTGTTAGCCAGGCTGGTCTCGATCTCCTGACCTCATGATCCGCCCACCTCAGCGTCCCAAAGTGCTGGGATTACAGGTGTGAGCCACCTCGCCCAGCCCCCACCTTTTCAATCCAATATGGAACCTACTACCTCCTGAGAAAGCCATGCCCCTGCTGTCCCTGGCAGACCACACAGGAGGATTCATTCCTCCGCTAACTCAATCACACCTTCAACAGAAGTGTATTGAGCGTCTACTTTGCACCAGGCACTGTGGATACATCGGTGAACAGAATTTATATCCGTGGGGTTGCTGGACTCCAGTTGGAAAGTGGGCAGTGGATTCTTTAGAAGGTCCACAGGCCTGGGAAGAGTCTTTGGGGACTGTGAGCAATCCCACGGTACCATGGAACACTTGGGTGGGAATATCCTCCACCTCCCAGAGCAGCTGTCGGCTCCACCACGACGAAGCACTGGACATCCAAGGGCTCTGCTTGTGAACCACATTGCAACAACAGACTAGTTACCTTGCAGTCCCTCAGGAATCTTGTCCTGCTCTTCTTGTTCTAAGGAAGCCACAGGTTCCCTTTTTCTCTGGAGAAGTAATCTAGATCTTCGATTTTGGAACCAAATCTAAGTGGGTAAGACAAAGAAACTTAATTTAAACAAAGGATGTTGTGTAAAACTCATGATTGCTTTCTTCTCTTTTTTCTTTTCTTTCTTTTTTTTTTTTTTTTTTTGAGACAGCGGTCTCTCTCAGAGTAGCTAGTGCTACAGGTGTGTATCATCACACTAGGCTAATTTTTAAACTTTCTGTAGAGACAAGGTTTCACCACGTGGTCCAGGCTGATGACCTTCTGGGCTCAAGCAATCCTCCCAAGTAGCTGGGACTAGAGGCACACTTGACTGTGCCCAACCCAAGATGTACATATATATAATATATATAGTGTATTTTATATATAGAGTATTTATTATATTTTATATATAGTGTATATATATAGTATATATATACACTGTTGTTTTTTTTTTCTTTTTTTGAGTCTCTCTCGGTCACCCAGGCTGGAGTGCAGTGGCGTGATCTCGGCTCACCACAACCTCCACCTCCCAAGTTCAAGCAATTCTCCTGCCTCAGCCTCCCGAGTAGCTGGGATTACAGGCATGCAGCACCACACCCAGCTAAATTTTTGTATTTTTAGTAGAGACCGGGTTTCTCCATGTTGGCCAGGCTGGTCTTGAACTCCTGACGTCAGGTGATCTGCCCATCTCAGCCTCCCAAAGTGCTGGGATTACAGATGTGAGCCGCCGCGCCCAGCCTGGACCTCATAATTCTAACCTCAGGGCATACTTAGAAGATCTGAAGGATACGATAGACATAAAGACTTTAGTCAAATAAGCAGGGCACGGTGGCTCAACCCTGTAATCCCAGCACTTTGGGAAGCCAAGGAGGGTGGATCACCTGAGGCCAGGAGTTCAAGATCAGCTTGGGCAACTTGGCGAAACCCTGTCTCTACTAAAAATACAAAAATTATTAGCCGGGTGTGGTGACACACACCTGTAATCCTAGCTACTCAGGCAGCCGAAGCACAAAAACCACTTGAACCCAGGAGGTCTAGGCAGCAGTGAGGCAAGATGTCGCCGCTGCACTCCAGCCTGGGTAATAGGGTGAGTACCCATCTCGTGGAAAAAAAAAAAAAAGGCTTTAGCCAAATGCCTGGCTTATATGCCATGTTAACTAATATTCACTAACTCAACAAATTCTCACTGAGTGTCACGTGCCACGCACTGTTCGGGGCCCAAGGAATACAACATTGCTCAGGACAGACAGAAAATACCAGAAGGGGATGTGAGATCGAGTCCTGTGGGCACCTGGGGGTAGAAGCCAGCAGACAGGGAACAGCTAGCTGTGAAAGACCCTGAACTGTGCCCCGCATGATGAGGAACTGCCTGAGGCCCACGTGGCTTCCCTTCCTGTATACCTATATCCCTAGGAGATGGGACAGCCACGCTTATCACTCACCTGGACTCTTGACTCTGGAACACCGATTTCTTTAGCAAGTTCTTCTCTGGAGTCAATCCCAGGGTATGGGTTTTTCACAAACGCCTTGATGAGAGTGTGTAATTGAGAGGTGCTGTAGGTGGTACGACACCGTCTGGCTTCTCTACCTAGGGAGGGCATGGAAAGATTGAGGGAGGCGGTAAAGGAATATTTCAAGGGTCCGTTCACATATTCAAACACACAACCCAAACTGTCACTCTCCATCCAATTTCGATCCCACTGACTCCTCCTGAGAGGGTCTTGTCCCAGGTTCCTTCTAGGTGGAAAGTTCTAGAGGAGACACGGGATGATATGTCTAGACTTCTGGACTCGAGTAGAAAGTAGGCAAGAGGCCGGGTGCAGTGGCTCACGCCTGTAATCCCAGCACTTTGAGAGGCTGAGGGGGGCAGATCATGAGGTCAGGAGTTCGAGACCAGCCTGACCAAAGTGGCAAAACCTCGTCTCTACTAAAAATACAAAAATTAGCTGGGTGTGGTGGCACCTGCCTGTAAATCCCAGCTACTTGGGAGGCAGAGGCAGGAGAATTGCTTGAACCCGGGAGGCAGAGGTTGCAGGGAGCCAAGATCAAGCCACTGCACTCCAGCCTGGGTGACAAAGTGAGACTCCGTCTCAAAAAATAATAATAATAAAATAAATAATAAATAAATAGAGGCCGGATGCGGTGGCTCAAGCCTGTAATCCCAGCACTTTGGGAGGCCGAGACGGGCGGATCACGAGGTCAGGAGATCAAGACCATCCTGGCTAACACGGTGAAACCCCATCTCTACTAAAAACACAAAAAACTAGGCGGGCGAGGTGGCGGGAGCCTGTAGTCCCAGCTACTCGGGAGGCTGAGGCAGGAGAATGGCGTAAACCCGGGAGGCGGAGCTTGCAGTGAGCCGAGATCCAGCCACTGCATTCCAGCCTGGGCGACAGAGCGAGACTCTGTCTCAAAAATAAATAAATAAATAGAAAATAGACAAGAGAAACACTCAGAAGGCCTGGGAAGAGGGCAGGGGAGAACTTCTAGGGTACGATGAACCCTTTGCCACCATAAGACCCTGAATAGGAGGTCGTCAGGGAAGAGACATTCTTTTTTCAAAGTAGCAGTTGGCTTCACCGTAGAGAAGCTCTGCTGGGGAACAGAACTGAGATGCTTATTTACTTTGAAACTCTACACCAGGTTGATCTTGCCCCTGGCTCTGGCTTGACTCTAAAGTGTCAGCTTCTGGTCTTTTCTGGAATCTCTGCCTAGCTCTTCGATTCTGAAACCAAATCTAAGTGAGGAAAAGAAAAGGAGAGAATTACATGTTAATGTCATTTAAGCTACATCACTGCCTGTTCCCAAAGTGAGCAATTCTTATTGGGCCTAAGCCCAGGATTATTACTCACTTCTGTCACATTCTGCCAAGTCGTCTTCTTTTTTTTCTTTTTTTTTTGGGGGATGGAGTCTCACTCTGTGGCCCAGGCTGGAGTGCAGTGGCATGATCTTGGCTCACTGCAACCTCCACCTCCCGAGTTCAAGTATTCTCCTGCCTCAGCCTCCCAAGGATCTGGGATTATAGGCGTGTGCCATCATGCCTGGCTAATTTTTGTATTTTTAGTAGAGATGGGGTTTCTCTATGTTGGTCAGGCTGGTCTCGAACTCCTGACCTCAGGTGATCCACCTGTCTTGGCTTCCCAAAATGCTGGGATTATAAGCATGACCTACCACGCCTGGCCCATCTACCTAGTCTTAGGTCAAGACTTGGCATTCACAACCAGGGCAACATAGTGTGACAACATCATCTCTACTAAAAACAAAAAAGTAAAAAAAAAAAAAAAAGGTTAGCCTGCTGGGCGCGGTGGCTCATCCCTGTAATCCCAGCACTTTGGGAGGCTGAGGCAAGCAGATCATGAGGTCAGGAGTTCAAGACCAGCCTGGCCAACATAGTGAAACTCCGTCTCTACTAAAAATACAAAAAAAAAATTAGCTGGTCAATCAACCAACACCTTTGTGGGTTTATTGAGGGTCCGTTGAGATACTCCCCACCAAACCGTCAGCATATGGGTACATAGTACGGGCTCTGTTAATGGTTCTCCCTCCTGCCTTTCTACTTCCAGTCCTGGAGATACCGAACTTAAACTTACCTGGATTCTGGACTCTTCTGTATTGATTTCTAAAGCAAGTTTTTGTTTGGTAGCGTAACCTGGGTAAGGCTTTTGATTGAAGGTATTGATGAGGATTTTCAATTGATCTTCTGTGAATTTGGTGCGACTGCGCCTGTGATTTGTTGTTACCATCTCTGTAGGAAGATTACAAAAGAAGCAGCATGTAATAGGTTAATTTATATATTCGAACTTCAGGTTCAGGCTAGTCTGTCACTTCCTCTTCCCAAATCCACGGGAACCCACTCGGGGAGAACTGCCCTTGTACAATGGTGGAGCTCTTGAACACACGATGGCGATTTTTCAACTTCTTGAGCTCATCTGAATGCCATCCTAAGAAGTCAGGGATCCTCTGTTTTGTAAAACCATTAAAAACCATTGTGAGCTGGGCGCGGTGGTTCGCACCTGTAATCCCAGCACTTTGGGAGGTCAAGGTAGGCAGATCATGAGGTCAGGAGTTCGAGACGCGCCTGGCCAACATGGTGAAACGCCGTCTATACTAAAAATACAAATAATTAGCCAGTCGTGATGGCATGTGCCTGTAATCCCAGCTACTCAGAAGGTGGAGGCAGGAGAATTGCTTGAACCCGGGAGGCGGAGGTTGCAGTGAGCTGAGATCATGCCATTGCACTCCAGCCTGGGTGACAGAGCGAGACTCCATCTCAAAAAAACAAAAACAAGGCCGGGCGCGGTGGCTCACGCCTGTAATCCCAGCACTTTGGGAGGCCAAGGCGGGCGGATCACAAGGTCAGGAGATCGAGACCATGATGAAACCCTGTCTCTACTAAAAATAGAAAAAATTAGCCGGGCGCAGCGGCGGGCGCCTGTAGTCCCAGCTACTCGGGAGGCTGAGGCAAGAGAATGGCGTGAACCCGGGAGGCGGAGCTTGCAGTGAGCCGAGATTGCGCCACTGCACTCCAGCCTGGGCGACAGAGCAAGACTCTGTCTCAAAAAAAAAAAAAAAAGAAAAAAAAAGAAAAGAAAAAAGTATACAAAACAAAACAAAACAAAAAAACAATGTGTATGTCATGAAAATACCAATAATTTTTTTAAGAAAAACAATGTGTTCTGTTCATATGGATTAGAAACAATATAAGTCAATAATGCAGGTGATATGGCATAGTGATGAAGTCATAGAAACGAAGAGTTTGTGATACAATGGACCATTTCAACCCCTTTCAGTTTTTCAGGTCAAAATTCCTTGGTGCATATATTTTATTTTTTTTTTATTTTTATTTTTTCAGGCCAGATCTCACTCTGTTGCCCAGGCTGGAGTGCAGTGGCGCAATCATGGCTTACTGCAGCTTTCACCTCCACAGGCTCAGGTGATCCTCCTACCTCAGCCTCCGGAGTAGCTGGGACTGCAGGTGCACACCTCCACACCCAGCTAGTTTTTCTACTTTTTGATACAGTTTCACCACATTGTCCAGGCTGGTCTCAAATTCCTGGGCTCAAGCGATCCCCCAGCCTTGGCCTCCCAAAGTGCTGAGATTACAGATATGAGCCACCACCCCTGGCTGGAGTATACTTTTTTACATTGCTCCATTGCTCCATTGCAAATAGCAATAGCAGGCAAACAGTATCAGTTTCCAAGATGTTTTTTAAAACACCACAGAGAGGACAAAACTAACTGGAAAAAGAATTTCATACTTTCAGTAGAAATTTCCAATAGGAAAAAAAAAAACAACAACATCACATAATTTTCTGGATAGGACATCCCCTTGAAATAACCAAATCTGGAAAGCATTTTGGAACATACCACTTTGTAACAGAATTAGACTTAGTGAATTGAGATGACAAGAAAAGTTATTAGAGATGCTAGAGGTTCAGTTAAAAGCCCAACAGCTTTTTTGTTTGATCTTTGAATGCTTGTCCCTGTCTTCAGTTTCACACAACTGATCCATCGTTTTGTTTTTTGTTTTTTTGTTTTTTTGTTTTTGAGACAGAGTTTCACTCTTGTTGCCAAGGCTGGAGTGCAATGGTGCAGTCTTGGCTCACTGCAACCTCCGCCTCCCGGGTTCAAGTGATTCTCCTGCCTCAGCCTCCCAAGTAGCTGGGGTTACAGGCACATGCCCCCACGCCTGGCTAATTTTTGTCTCTACTAATTTTTTAGTAGAGACAGGGTTTCACCATGTTGGCCAGACTGGTCTCGAACTCCTGACCTCGTGATCCGCCCACCTCAGCCTCCCAAAGTGTTGGGAGTACAGGTATGAGCCACCGCACCTGGCTACCATAATTTAATTAACAGTTTAACAACATCACATGAGGTACAGCCTTGAGAATAGGTTGGTGGAAGCAGAGAGATCAGTTAGGAGAAGGCTGCAATAATCTAACGCAATGGACCAATCATCTAAGGAGATGGACCAAGAAATGGTCAGATTCCTTAAATATTTGAACGTTAAAGCCATCAGAATGTCCAGCCTGACTAGATTATGTTATGAGGAAAAAAATGGAGTCGGGGTGTTTTCTAGATATGAGACATGACCTGTCACCTCCAGAGCTGGAGAAAACAGTGGGAGGAATAGTTTAGATGTGAACATCAGGAGCTCAGTTTGGAACACATTGAGTCTGAGATGCCTGTTAGAGACCAGTAGGCGATTAGATAAAGTCCAAAGTTCAGGAGAAAAGTTCAAACGTTCTGTAGAGAGAAATCTGGAAAGTGCTCTCCAGATTTGGAATCCTTGATTCCAAGGATATTTTGAGCTCTAAACTTTGTGACGTGGCCCATAGTTGCTTTCTTTTAGTATTTGTCTCCCTCTCCTTTTTTTTCTTTTCTGCTCCTTCCTCCTCTCTTCCCACCTGAAGCTCAAATATGTCTTATTTAGTTCTTGAATATCTGTACCTTTCTGAAATTCCCAATGCTCAAATGTGCTGAAAACAGCCTGTTTTCATAATATGACATCTGAGAAACTGGTTTTCCCTTATTCAGATACAGTTATTTTAAAGTTTACAAATGGAACTCTCACAACTTCTGACAAGACCACTAGGTTTTTAGCCCGACGTTTCCCCCAAGCCAACAAACGCTCAGTCAAGCACAAGGGAACTTACTGTGTGAACAGGCATCTTCGGCCATGCTGGAAGAGAGTCCTGAAGGCTGAGCCACCGTCTGAGAGACAAGTCACTCTGCACAGGGCTGGGTTTTATATGCTTAGCCAGGTGGTCCCGCCCACTTTTTTAAACCATTTACATAAATCTCTAGTTCCACCCTTAGTAATTTTATTATTCCCTAGAAACTCCTTAGAAACATGTGTCCTCAATCTAAAAGGGACTCGATAGAACTCCTGTTCGTCAACGGATATTTAATAATATACACCAATGTATAAATTGTTATCAACCCCTACACGTAAGCCATCACAAGAACATTTTGCCCCATGCCAACTCACGAATACACAGAGTCATGCTCCTTGGCTCCCCTAACCCCCTTGTGGGAAAAAGATTCCTCCCAAATCACTGGAATCTGAACAGGGAGACAAGCTTGCAATAGTTCCCAATTTCTTAAAAAAAGAATATTTTTGAGTACTATTCTGCTTATACATATTTTTTCAATGCTTATGATATACACTTATTCTTTTGTAAATGGGGTTTTTATGCTCTCCACGTATTTTTTGACATAGTGGCCTCTGCTTATTAAATTAAAAGTGTTATTTCTAATTAGTACCAAATAAGAGTGAGGCTAGTGAGATAGGAACAAAATTTAAGGGGGTGCTAAAAATTCTATGATCAAGATAAATAATATTTGAATGCAATATATATTTTAAGTAATGTAAAAGGTCCATCTTAATGAAACATAAAAATTGTAAATAGAGAGAAGATCCTACCCTGCACAGGCACGACCCTGCAACTTATGCAAGTGAGGGTACCTGTGCATTGAAAAAAATGCCTCACTATTGACCAGTCATTGATCAGTCATTGATCAGTCTTGAGGGAAGCTGGCTGGTGGTTGCCACCTTTTATAACTGTAATCTACAATACTGCAGGATAAAAGGGAAAGTTTTATTACATGTATATATTTGTGTAATTTAAAAAATGTTATTAAAAGCACATAGTGAAGTGATATGAATTTCATTTATTGATATATTTGACTATCCACAAATAAAATTTGGCCAGATATCAAGCCATTTTTGAGAAACAATTTTGAACCAGGAAAATAACATGAAATAACATTTAACAGGAAAATTTTACACTTTATTTAATTAAAACAATGATAAATTGTTTTTCTTTTCTATATATATTTCATCACAATGTTTTTTCACCAAATTTATCTGGAAATCTAGAGCACAATGTTCTGCTGTTTGTTTATATTGATGTTTATATTTTGATACAAATTATATGTTCATCTACTTGAACATTAGATATTACAATTATAAATGTGTTTTAAATTAATTGACACAATATTGAAAATTTATTATAATAAATTATAATATATTATTATTCAATATATTATATTAATATATAATAATAAACAATATAATATCTGTCTCTTATACACATCTAGATGTGTATAAGAGACAGCCTTACAATTGAGCGGGCAAGTAATAATATTATCTCCGTATTTTTAATGTGAGGAAACTGAGGCCCAAGAAGACATGTAATTTGCCCAATATCAGGTATTCAGTACATTG